CTTCTGGGCCTTGGATTTGCAATACTTCTGAGATTCGATTTGATATTATTTGATTTTGTTGTGATTTCCTTAGATATTGATTGCGATTGGATGCAGATTGAACTCTGTTTCCCCTTTTTTAGGGTTTAATCGATTCCTAGCTGATATTCTGATTCGGTTCAAAGATTTCTATCTCCAGAACTGAACTGATTTGTTTGATTGATTCAGGTTACACGCAAATGGGGATTCGATTTGATTTGATCATTTGGTTTTCAGATTGAGTTCTTGCTGATACGATTGGGATCTTAATTCATTTTTCTGGTATGAGTTTGACATTAGTTCGTTGATTGATTCGATTTGGTTGGATTTTTGCAGATGGATTGGATTGCCTTTGGATTTCTGTTGACCTGTTGGATATCTGAATTAATTCGAACTGATTTGCTTGATTGATTCAGATTGGGAATCAAAATCTTTCTATTGTTTTTCTGATATGATTTGCTTTCAGATTGGATTTAATTGGTATCTGATCACAGAATTCCTTGGAGGATTCGTTTTTCTGTTCTGTTATCGATCTCGAACTGATTCACTTTGTTGATTGATTTGTTTCTTTGATGCAGCTCAGATTCTTTTCCTCTTTTTCTTTCAGAGAGAGCTTGATGTTGTGTTGGTCTTAGCCGCCGAGACGGGTACGCGGTAATGATGACGATGAGTCTGAACCATTTGGAGTAGTACGCTACAATTCTAGTTTTGCTTATGTTACTGCTTCTGATTGAATTGGTGGGGACGATTAGCTGTTTATGTTGAGCTGGTGCCGTGTACTTGTTTGTTTATGGCTACCCCTGTGATTTTGCCGTGTATCTGCTTCGTCTGGATTTTTATTCTGATTTCATTTGAACGGCTTCGTGATAAACTGAAACATGCTTCTCTGATTCTTCTGATAGGCGTTGTTGTAGCTCGCCTCACTTGCTACCTGTTTGTGACTGATATCCATTGCTGCTATTGTTTGTAGCTCAGAAATTGCTTGAAACGGTGATGATGATTCTCGAATCTGAACCGTTTCTTAGAGGCTAATGTTGCAATGTTGGTGCTTGCGAATGATGCTTGCTCGTAGCTGATATTGGCTCTATGATTTTGTTGCCTATTTCTGGAGCTGTACTGTTTTGAACCCTGTTATGAACTTGGGGTTGCTGAATCTGTTGGCCTTGTCCTATGTTATTTTGCTGCAGCTTGATACCATATTTTGGTTTCTCTTGCTCTGCTGTGGACTTGATTTCCATTCTGTTTGGTACAGATTTGTTTCTTTTGGTGGCTATTCCTACCTGTATTGGCGCGCACCCCTTCCTAGTTTTGTTTTATGCTTTGAGTTCTGATGATGCTTATGTTTTTTTCAGATATTGAAAGTTTTGAAATCAAGGTGACTCAGACCTGCCGGCATCCGGGTCTGAATCAAAACTTGCCTATGTTGCCTTATTCTTGTATCAGTCTGGAAATCCAATCGCGGCAAAACGAATCAGCCCCACTTCTTTTATTTTCTCTATCTCTCGGATGTCCCTTACGATAAGAACAATGACTATCTGATCTGACGCCGGTGGCTCAGATTGGTAACGGGAGTAGGATGCGGCTTTAGTCGTACCCTCCCGACACTCGATGATGATAATGTTCTGAGAGTGTCAAACAATCTTCTAACCTCTTTTCCTGTGGTTTGTTTTTGCTTTGATGTGCAGGTGCTCAAGAGTCGCGTGAAGAACTCAAGGGAGGAAGATTATGAAGAACACTTAGAAGCTTAGGACTTAGAACTTTTTAGAATAGATAGCCAATGTAATGAACCTTTTTGTAAACCAGTGGGTATAAAGTTCAAAATTATTTATCCATTTCCATTGTAAACTAAATATTTATGAAATAAAGTTCAAAAATATTTATTCACTTCTTATTTGTAAATAATAATTCGAAAATTATTTAAATTCACTCCTTAGATGTAAATTGCAAATACTTATGAATAAAGCTTCAAAAATATTTAAACTCACCTCTTAGTTGTAAATTATAAATATTCACGAATAATATTCACAAATATCTAAACTCATTTCCCTTTTTGTATTGGACAATATTATGAATGAGATCCACTCTCTTTATATTAATTGACTGCTTACCGTAACCGGATTAAATCTGACCAAAACTCAAACTGAGTTCCTGCTTTCCAAATAACCTTAGCAGTATCTGCTTCCTCTCAGGAATACTGTCCCACTTGTCTCAAAATTACAGACTCCACTTGAAATGACCAAAATGCCCCTGTGGTAATTCCTGAAATAAAACGCACTCATATGATTGGTTAATGATTAATGGATGCAAAATGAAATGCTATGTGAAATGAACTGACTAAATGTAAGGGTAAAATTTGGGGTATTACACATAGATGATGAGGTAGGTTGAACTTTTTAATACTCAAATGTTTTATGATCCAGACATGAAAGTTATTCTTATATTTACATTTTCTTATTTACATGATGATCTTAGACTCCTACAAAATCCAAATCAAAAGATGATAGAATTATTGTGCGGGATACCGATTCAGCTGCATCAAAGAAACAGGTAATACTACAGTTACATGATTATCTTGTTATACATTAATTACTGAACTTATATATGACTTTTAGGTTCATGATCAGCAGTCGCAACAAGTCAGCAAGGGTAAGATGCCTGAAACTTCCAAGGTGCCCAGAAAAGCATTTGTTCCTCGATTTAGGATGTGCCTTGAAACATATGTGGGAACATCAGATGTGCCTGAGGGTGGCATCCGTCAAATACATATGGACGGAGGTATTTTCGGTTTTGAATATCCCGAAACAATTGCTAAGGAGGATTTTGATCAGGTTTTCAACCATTCTGAATTGGGCGTCGGTGTTATGCATTCATACATCAGATATTTCGATCCATTTTAATTAAATAATTGAACATTTTAAAATTTTCTCGTTTAACTTAATATTCTAATGTTGATTATGTTTTTTTAGGTTCTTGTATGACAAGTTGTTGGTCTCGAATGAATTGACTTCAGTATTCGCATTCTTATCTGCTAGTTGTGTCAACTCACGGATAATAGACCAGACACCAGATACAGTCAAAGAATACACAGTGCAGAGATTTATGGGCGCGACTACGGAGAAGTTGTTCTTGTTTCCATATAATACTGGCCATGTGTTAGATTTTATTCTAAATTCATTTATTATAATTGTTCGATTTTTCCCTTTCTATATAACATTTTCGTCTAAACTGTTGTCTTATTTTATAGTGGACATTGGTTGTTGGTCGCGATTAATCCGAGGAAAGAAATAGTGTATTATATAGATTCATTGGATGGCGATACAACAAAATATGAAAATCTGAGGAACATGGTTGATACGTAAGTGATGAGATATACTGTTGTCTTTAATTATATATCTTTATTTATTATTTGACATTGTTCTAAATATGCGTTTATATTATGTTAGAGTTATACAAATATTCAGAGCACAAAGAGATGCAACGGTGCCAAAAAGTAAGGCTAACAACATCAACTGGATCAGAGTGGAGGTATATTTTCCCATGTTTGACTATTATAGTGGTTCTACTTGATAAAACTATTTAAACTATATATCCTGATAAATGTTCGTTTGTTTTTTCCATTTACAGTGTCCTCGGCAGCGCAATGGTATTGACTGTGGATATTTTGTATTGCGCTTTATGAAGACAATTATTCTTTCTGGTCAACTTGAGATTCCAATCATGGTATGGATCAATTCATTATATAAGTTATATGATTCATTTTGATAATTATCCGATACTTCATCTGAGTAATTAGTTTTAAAATTAAATCTTGCATGTTCTGTTATATTATGTAGTATTTTGATGAATTCAAGTGCGCTACTTACACGAAAGCAAAATTGGAAGAAATTAAAGAGGAATGATGTCAATTTATTCTTGGGTTGAGAATTGTATAAAGTTATCGGATTGGAAGAATTGTAATTATATGTAAATTGAATGTATTTGTGATGTTGTAATTTTGAGGATCGGATTTTGTTGTAACATATTTAAGCAGGTTTATGTGTATTAAAATGATTATGGACAAAGTGATGAGTTACAATGTATACTTAAAGGCCAAAGTTTTGAATTGTATATATAAGGCCAAAGTTTTGAATTGTATATTTAAGGCCAAAGTTTTGAATTGTATATATAAGGCCAAAGTGTTGAAATAAAGGCCTGAATTATAAGCAGGTTTGTGTAATATAAGCAAGTTGTTGGTAAATATACAAAATAGGGTGAATATTTAAATAAATAAAAAATTTAAAATCTGGGACATTAGATAGCGCTTTTACAAAAAAGCGCTGCTAAAAGTTACAAACATAGCGCTGCTATAGGTTTGGAAGGGGGGTCTAAGACAGCGCTGCTAGGGGGGGCTATGGCAGCGCTTTGTAAAAGCGCTGCTAAAGGTGGGCTCTAAGACAGCGCTTTGTGAAAGCGCTGCTAAAGGGGGGGATGGTTGAGGGGAATATGCAGCGCTTATGAAAGCGCTGCTAAAGGGCTATAAAAGCGCTGCTAAAAGTGCTGCTGAAGGGAGCCTTTAACAGCGCTTTTTCCATAAAAAAAGCGATGCCTTTACCTTTAACAACAAGCGCTGCTAAAGGTCTTTTTTGACATAGTGACATATGTTAACAATATTGAAGGAAGAGATGATGAGATGTTTTCTTAACTGTGACCACAAATAGCAAAAAATGGTATTGTGAAGAAGTTTCCAAACAAGAGAATTAGTTGTTGGAAGGAAGTAAGGGTTGTCATAATGAAAATTTAGCTATACTCATCACTTATGGAAATATCTATAAACACAAAAACTAAATGATGGAAGAAAAAATAAAAGATTCACCGGTTCATCACTTAGATGTTAGATTAATTCAACTTTTGAGTTTTTGCTAACACCAGTGAAAGGTCCAACTATCTACCACTAGTATCTAGTATCTACCACATGACTTTACCAACAACCTAGTAAAACAAATTCACTGCCTACGTTGTGAAGAGCAAGAACCTTCATTTTCTTGAACAAGTACAAGGTTGTCATTTTCTTTGTCATCGATGGACAAAAGTGTAGGAGTAGCCAAGAATGTTGGTTTCTCATTCCCAGCCATGATGACAAGGATTTTCTCTTCGTAGGATTTCACGGGCTCCTTAGTTTGAGAGTCACTCTCTTTGTTGTTCAATTCATCATCTTGGCTGTTACTACAATAAGAGCAAGCTAGTGCCAATAATGCCAATGCTATGAGACCCATAATGGCAGCTAGTCCTCCAAAGAGATATGGTATTGGAGTCTGCCATAGAGAACTTGTGTTGGGGTGTGTGTTTAGCATTGTGGGGGGTATGCTCCTCATTTTCTCTTCTTTCTAATTTGTTCTAGTATAACAAAAAGAGGAAAGCGATTTAGGAGTAGTAGAATGGAGAGGAGAGAGGATGTGAGGTTGAGAAAGAAGAAATATGGCGAAGTAGTTTATTTATAATGGCCAACATTCATGAAGAGGAAGATTAATTGAGAAGACATTAGATAATAATAATAAGAGAGAAAGTTAATTCATCTCTTTGATTTGTAACTGTAGCCAACTTGTTAAATAAATTTTATTATATCTATCTACTTATTGATTATGAATTTTTCTCATTTTACACAAATCTCTTAGCTGGAAATATTCTATCGTTTCGTTTCTTGATATATAATTCAAGAATATTGTGTGGATAGTGTAAATGTGCTCCTAGCATAAGAATAAATTGAGATCAGAGAGGAGGAGAGTGCAAATGTTTGATATGGCTCCACCTGAACAAGACAATATGATGTCACTAGGCAATTGCATTGTCAAGAGTGGGGATCACAAAATAAAGTTGATTTTTAATCATAATAATTCTCATTGATGATATAAGGCATGAAAGAGGCAATGCCAATATTCTTTAACTTTTTTTTATACCATTTACAGCATTGCATTTGGAAAAGGAATGTTTGTAGAGGATGTGTAATATTTTTGCACATTTTGAAAGAGGAAAAAGAAATAAAGAAAACAAACTTTTATATTTATTAGGAGAGCTGCATGGGGCTTTTGGGAGAGCTACATGGGCTTTTCTTTAGGGGAATATTTAATGCACCATATGCATTACTACAACACCTTTGTGAAAATACAATAATATATTTAGAATTTAGAGATGTATTTTTAGACATACATCAAACACATATAATTAATGTTGATTTTGAATCACGCCTAAGATTTATGTATATTTTATTTTTGGAAATGCATCTCTGTAAAACTTATAGAGGTGCATTTTCGAAACGTACTAATGCAGAACGTATACAGAAAACTAAAAAGTTGCAGTTTGACAAAATAAAATTAGCATTGTTAATGTAAAATTAGTATTACGTATGTGATGTTAACATAAATCAAACATTGCATTTCAATATCTAAGCAGACGTTTCAACATCTTCATAATATCTTCGTTCGATCTCGAAATCGTCGTATCCACCTTAATCGCAACTTTTGTTTCTAAACAGAAAAAAATATTCCACATAGTTCTTAAATATGCATCCGTCTTCAGCTCAAAGTTGTTAAACTCAATCTTCCTTTTATTGTCAATTGACTGTGAATGGTATTCAACCGAGCTTCACAATTTTTCGATTGTCTCTGTAAGGTAGAAGATTATGCAATATGTATTTCTTATATGCAAGAGGGGTGTACTCATTGAACGTAAATTCAATTTAGAGCTTCACACCGTAAAAGTAGACATATGTGACATGTCAAATGATGTTCATTCTAGTGTAATGTGTTTTAGAATGAAACATGATACAAGAGTCCATACTTACAGTAGTTGTATACAAATATGGACCACTGAAACTCTATCTTATACCAGGGGATTTTCCGGATATGCATCTTCGGTTTCAATCTGTTCAGTTATTCTAAAGATGTATCTCCGAAACCGCTCTAAACATAATGAAATTTTATTCTAGACAAAATCAGAACCTTTATTAAATGTAGAATGTATTGGAAAATTGAAAAATATATTGAAATATTCAAAAATGTATATATTAGACATCATTAATATTAATAAAATATTACATACAATACATTATTGGATAAAACTAAAATGATTTGAAACATTTATCGTATATGGGTGGTACCTCCTTTAACTTTTGTTTATTTAATTCTCTTTCAGTCTCGCTCAATTTGGTGAACTCTTACATCCTTTCCACAAAATAGTCTGGCCAAATCTCAGATTTTGTTGTTGAATGAGCTGCCAACTTTGGTGATGTAAGTGTTGTAGGGCATCTCAGTTTCAAATAAACTTGAACAAAGTGTCGTGGATTTGAAATCCATCCAACACACATAACACAATCATTTGGATTTTGAGATAGGACAGTGGGCAGTAGAAAAAATGTTTCTGAGAAACTGTATCTTATAAGATCAATGCACACTCTATCATACGCACTTGTTATGGGATAACTCATTTTAGAGAAGCACGTTTATTTATCCTTTATGTCGGTCCACTAATGCAAGGAACAAGAGATTCGTAAATTCGATCAAAATTCTCCTTTTTCCCGTATAGTCGTATGTATGATTCTTTATGGCCCGTCAACTCTTGGATACACTGATGGCGTAAAATGTGTGATCCCTTTCTCTTTTACCGAGAAAAGCAGAAACAACTCAAAAACCTTAGTTACTGTCACCCTTAACATTAGCGATTTGTTTAATGTATTTGTGCATAAAAAATGGCATCACTTCAATGAATGTGATTTTTAGTAAAGGAGGTTAAGGAGGTGGTTTTCTAATGAAATCTCCTTTGAAGAAGCTTTTTTGGCCTTTTGGAGTTAGAGAATCCGAAAAAAAGTTTGTCAACATGTTCAAAATATGAATGAGTCTGCATCTTTGAATTGTCACTTGGTGTAGGTTTGAACTTCTCAGGAGCACCTTTTTTTTACCAGTTGAGAGAGTGGTTTCAAGTATATGGTTTTTGGATAAGAAATCTTCCTAAATTTCTCTTTCATGTGGAGTTTTGTATTATCGTCGGCTTTCAAAAATCTATCTTGTATCACTTCTCATTCGGTCAAGATAGAGATATTTAATTTATTGCCTTTCACGACACCATTATCATCATCATCATCATTAACAAACTAGAGCCTTTTCTAGTAAGTGTAAACTTCATCCATTCGTATCGGGCTATCAAGTTTCACCTTCTTAGATATAAAGCAAACACATGAGAGGCCGTAGGTTTCCATAAGTGTGAAACACACATTAAGCTATCAGAAGCTACATCATCAGCTCACTTGGCTTCATAAAAAATATAATTCATACCTGCTCGAGATATATTACCGACCAACTCAGAACAAAGATTGTTGTCTTTGAACCTGTGTTCCAACATTGTAATGCTACGCCCAAATGATATATGTATCTCATTATGTTGATCTTGGATCATTTGATTCATTGAGTCCCAATCTCTATACAAATCACCATTTCTGTTTTCCAATCAATTCTTCAGTGTAGCATGGGCAGACTCAACTCGATTAGTTGTTGTATTTGTAAGGTGTCTAACTTGATCGGTTCAAACACAAAAAAAGTTCTCCTTCATCTAGCCCAAAATTGTACTTTCAACATATTTTAGAATATCTGGATATTTCTCACACACCTTCCTAAAATGAATATCATCATCTGCAAATAACTTTTTTGTAGAAGAATTTATTATAAAATTACATGAATCCATTATTCTTTCCACTATCACGCTTGTGTCGTATCTCGAAAAATACGATCCTCGCGATGGACGCGGAAAATACGTTCGAACAGAGTCGCCACCGAACTTTATTCATTCCAAGGATGGAATGGGAAAATATTGATAAAACCTTTAAGGAGATAAGAACGTGGTCATCGCAACCACATTCTAGGTTCGGGAGTCGATTACATGAGGGGAAGGTATTAGCACCCCTCATGTCCGTTGTACTCAACGGGAACCTCTTGATTCGATTCGAGAGTAAAGTTAGCTACGCTTGTTTGTTTTCTTCTAAGGTTTCTCCTATAGGGGGAAATGGGTGGTTATTAGATAGGGTGCTCGCCAAGGATTGGGGCCCTTGTGCCTATGTATCTTCACTTGTAAGAAGTGGAAAATCAGAGCATTCGTAGTTCGTGGGACTACGGGAAAAAGGGGGGATTGTGCTCGCCAAGGTCATCACAATCTTGTGCCTACGTATTTTCATTGATAAATGAGAAATCAAAGCAGCCGTAGTTCGGCTAACTACGGTAAAAGGGTTGGTAAATGAACGAGTGTTTAGGTCGCATTCTAACTGCTAAACATTGGCTTGTCTGCTCGCTAGGGGAGGCTGAAGCACGAGTTTGTATGCGCGGAACAAGGGACTAAACAATGTTCTTGGTAAAAGGTGTATTGAATCGAACGAGAGTTTAAGTCGCATTCTAACTGCTAAACGTTGGCTTGTCTGCTCGCTGGGGGAGGCTGAAGCACTAGTTTGTTATGCGCGGAAGAAAGACTAAACAATGTTCTTTGGTAAAAGGTATTTGGATTCGAAATCGCACGAGGGCGAGGAATCTGTATTTATCGTATTGGATGTTTTGGTTAGAAGATATTTTTGAATAGGTTTAAGATTTTGATTGCACGGGAGCAAGAAAGAGGAGTTTGGTTAGGTAATTTGATGGAGAATGACGACTATTCGATAAACGATACGTCGGCCTCGCAATCAATTAATCGGGGCATTATTGGAATGCTAGATTCCGACGACACCTTTTTCATTCGACTAAATTCGAAGTTAGGGTTTGAGAAAGTTTCAATCGCACGGGGGCGAGAAAAGAGATTTGGGTTGAATAGTTTAAGGGAGAATGACGAATACTCGATAAACAAGACGTCGGCCTCACAATCAAATAATCGGAATATTATTGGAATGCTAGATCCCAACAACACCTTTTTCATTCGAATAATTATGAAATTGTGTTTGTTGGACAGTGACGATAATTGTCCAAATAATTAGGGCACGTGTTTTATAGACGAAAGGTCGAACAACCCACAACCTAAAACGTACGCCCCAAGAAAGGTTACTCAAGAACTCAAGGAGTGCGAGACTCCAAGAACTCAGTTCTTTCGCAATTTACTTAAGAAAATAGTTTAAATTTGACGTATGGTTTAGACACGTATTAGGGTTTGTTTTGAGGGAGAATCACGACTACTCGATAAACGTGACGTCGGCCTCGCAATCAATTAAGTCGGGATATCATTGGAATGCTAGATACAACGATACCTTTTTCATTCCATTAATTATAAAATATGTTTGTTGGACAGTGAAATTACTTGTCCAAATAATTATGGAAATGTTTTAGAAACGAAAGTTCGAACGACACACCAT